CGTACCATGACGACACAAACCGTACAATTTGAAAGAACTCCAACAATCATTGTTACGAMATTTAAAGCAATATATCCAGAGTTTTGACTTGAAAAAACTTGGTCTGCCTTSGACATGGCGAAACAGGTCTATAAAACGTCCCAGTTGATAAGCTTGGTTTCAATGACAAAAATTACACATGAAAAACTTTCTGAATAAAGCTTCAAATGCATAAAAAATTAAATTTAGTGGCTGTCATTGGGTGTGAAACAAATGCTGATTGTTGTACAAAATCATTACACCCATGCTGTTAAATTGTTTTTCTCGACAAAATCATTCATCTTCGAATTACGGTTTCTCGAGGTCGTTTCTTTTATGAGTCATGTGGTAATATAAATCCAAGAGGTGTCGATTGGGCCGGCAGCAGATATTTGTTGATGAATAGAAATGGCCGGTTAAGTGATATTCCGTTCCGTGTACGTGCTGTCAGTACCATATTGTTTCCCACGACCCATACAACAAACATTCCTACATTTCTTTAATGTCGAGTCTATAGAGTAATCAAACCTCGAACATGTTACGTCATGTCATAGCCGCCATGTTGGTTGACTATACAAAGCATTCCTCATTAAGAGGCTTTTCTCGTTAGATCAACCAAGATGGCGGCTGTTTCATTATAAGTTATATCTCAAGGGATTTTTCGGTCACGTGGTTGCATTCCAAGAATATGATAGGACAGTGCATTATCGCTTCCTAATATAGCTTGTCCCGCCATTTCTTATCTTTGTAATTTTGTGGGAATGCTCTTTCAACACAAATGAAAATATAATAGCTGATAGTGCAAGAAAACGCAGAACAGATTTCCCAAGAAGACATGTGATTTTATTGGACTTCATTTGGTGATTCTCAATTATTTATAACGTCTTTTTTTTCTGAGACAGACGATCAATACTATGAAAAATGTCATGGCTTAACCTTATTGTGACTTGCACAAGGGGCTTGCACAGCAAGCCAGAATGTAAACTATATATCCGTGAAATGCTACTAACTATTTAGTACAACCCTCGGCCCTTTGGCTATGTCTTGCTGGCATTAAACACTACTTGAAGACACAGTATCACGTCCTGCAAGCATCCTAAAGCTGCACTATGCATGGCTTTGACTAGTGTACTTATCGATCTGATATTTTTACGTTTTTGCCGGTGACTATTTAACAATAATTCGCCTCAGGCTGAGTGAATATCGGGGAATATTTATTACCGAGAAGCGAGTCTTCGAGCGGCGCGGTGAATATTCCACAACATTCATTCAGCCTGAGGCGAATAACTGTTTTACTATTTTTCAACACAAGTGAATTTAATAAATAACGGAGAGAGAGGTTTTTTGTTCAAATTCTATCTATCTCTGCAAGCGGCACAAGTCGACAAACGAGCGTGCGCGTGCACGCGTTATATTCACCTGTAGGTGAATATTTAACAATTATTCGCCGAAGGCGAAGTGAATATCGGGGAATATTTACCGAGACGCGAGTCTTCGAGCGGTAAGGAAAATATTCTCCTATATTCACTGAGGCTGAGGCAAATAATTGTTTTAGTATAAATACACAGGTGATTCTTTCAAAAAAAAAAAAGGAAAAAAAGAAGATAAAAGACTTTTTTTCGGTAACAGCAACAAAGCGGCTGACCGCCATTTTGGATTATCGCTGGAGGTGACTATCGTGTGATAGTGGATAGAGTTTCTCGACCAATCAACGCGCGAGATTTTCAATAATAACCTGTGTAATTTTTACTAAAACAGCATAAGACGTAAATTGAGCGCGCCGGATTTATCATATTCACTTGTGTAAAAATACTAAATTTAATTATTCATTGATTTATTTATAACTTGATTGGGAAAAAATGTAAACATATAAATTAAAATCAAAAATTGAACTGACAAATTTACTTAGAGAGGGTGACACGTGACAGTTGTAAGTGATAAATTTGTAGCCCTCTATGTTTAACGTCTCTGAATGAGACGGGACCGCCATTTTTATCCGATCCACGGCAAAGGCTTAATCATTTGCAGATATTTTTAGTGCTAACGTGCAGCACCTTATTGAGCTTCTACTCAAATGTTTTAAGACCATGAGCGTTGGTCAACAAACTAACTGAGCTAACTCAGTCATAATTATTACTCGCTACTAAAAATGAAAGCGAAAGATAAACATTACCAAGAGAAATGAACTAAGAGAAGGAATCTCTGTTATTCATGATTGTCACCAACATTGGCACCGTTTGATGTGATCTTTTTTTTCTGCACGCGCATACTGAGCGCGCTCTATTCTGGTTTTTTGTTTGTTTTTTTTTCGAAAAGCACAAGAAAACATGAGAAAACACCATAGAGCGCAAGCAGTACGGGTGCGCAGAAAAGCGAATAATGAATGATTCTAAAAATAACAGAAATAATCCTAAAATAGCATCAAAGAGTGCTGATGATGGGGAGCTGGGATTCCTTCTTTCAGTTCATTTTCTCTTTACGTTACTCAGAAGAGGATCCAGGGTTATCCCATCATGCATTGCGAGCGAGATATTACTTTTTTCCATTTAAACAGCTAAAATTTATATTTTCGAAATTTTAAATAGAGTGCATTTCATACTTTTTAACGTTATCTATTTTCTAAATCCTTCAAGACATTTAGAGAGATACTTGTTAAAATACTGGAGTACTCATTTTAGAGTATTTCAGGTTCAGCATAGATCCTACAACTGACTACTCGTCAGATTTTTAAAGGCTCTTGGGATAGCCCTGGATGCTCYTATTAATAGTTACACGCGAAGGCACCGTCCGCGGTGCTATTGTCAAGCGCAAGGTCTAATGGCAAACAAAAATGACAAAAGTTGTATCTATTAATTATTTTAAAGTGCATGATTCAACAATTGTAATGATTGAATTTAAAATYAAGAATTTGAAGACGTGGTTGTTGAGTTTTGTGGCAACGCATTTTTGCATTGTGTGTTATCGGTTGAATGCTTAATGATCACCGAAGTAAAATTGAAATAAGAGCTGATAATTAGATAAAAATTGATGAATGATAGAAATATTGATAAAAACTTATACACTCAATTGAAGAATCGTTATCGTGTTCAGAAACATAGAACATTAAAGCTGGGACCAAAATGGCACATGGGAAATGACATATTGATATTATAATGTATTCATTTGCGCCATCCATGCAGTCGGTTTAGAAAGCCGTTTGGCTTCGCATTTTCATAGGTTGCAGCGTAGACGAAACCGCTTATGCACTTGCGTTATCTCGTATCTATCAAACGTATTCTTGTTTTTCTGTTTTAGTACCTTCAGCACAACGTTAACAGCCTCCATGGTTTTAAAAACAGTGGATGATGCCACGGGTCGCCGGTCACAGCATGCATCTAATTAATGTACTTCCCATGTGCCATTTCGATCTCAGCTTCTATGTTCTATGTTTCTTAACCCGACAACGATTCTTCAATTGAGTGATACGCAAACATTAAAAAAAGTCAGAGAAAACAAGTATGAAAATTCATATACATGACTCCTGACTGCAGTATCAAGATAAGAGCTGAAAGTTTGTTTCTTTCACTCAATGCCATGGCAAATAAGTGAGTGAAAATGTAATTGCATCACCTTTCTTAAAGATTGCTGATCCTGACCTGGTAAATTACTTGCAATATCCTGTAATTCTTCTTCGTTCAATGGACAAGGATGGGCCTCTATGTTCCTCTCTTTCAACTTGTCTTCCATGAAGTCAATTACTTTCTTAACATTATTTTCATCTGGATCAATCTTGTCAGCTTGCAATTTCGTCCACCTTTTTTGAGCTTCTTTTTGATCGTCTCTGGTTTCATACAGCTGTTCAATGTCTTTATCAATATATCTGAGACGTGGCTGCTTGTAATCTTTTCCTTTCTTAAAGTAAACTGGCAMGACTTCCCGATATATTGCTTCCATCACATTAGCACACAACTGACCAATGTACAGCTTATTTCGAGATTTTTCGAGCTCATCAGTTTTAGCCATGTATCTGTTCAAGTCGTTTTCCTGCCTTAGAGATTTTTCATTGAAATGTCTTACTTCGTTTTTCAGCTGTTCGGTTTCAACCATATTTGTTTTTAAATATTGTTCTTGATCTTGAGCTTTTTTTTCCATAGATTCCAATCTTTTATCCTTTTCTGCCAATTGATTTATAATAGCGTCAAGTTTATGTTCAAAGGAAACGATTTGAGCGTCTTTTTTCTCTATTTCTCCTCTAAGGCTTGTGATGGCGGGTTTGGTTGAAAAATATCGAACTTCCTCTTCCAACCATTTTATCTTCTTCATGAGCTCGTCCACTTCCTTTTCGAGAGCTTTTTTCTCATCTTCAAACTCTTTGGTATTCTTGGTATAGCAGACACGATCT